TAGCGTATAATCATAATGTGTAAATATTAAATTGTTCAGACACTTACTATACAACTTTTAGTTATACTTTGACTTGTTTGTTAATTAATTTTTGTATAACCCATCATAGAGCTTAAAAATTATTATTTATATTTTAATCTCATTATATTATATTATAACTATATATATATTATATTATTTATTATATATTATACCTATTATACTCTTGTTTCTCGATAATTATTCTATTTCTATGGCAAAGCTATATCTTGTATATGAAAAATACTTTACTGGTTAAATATTAGTTACCTACATACTGTTTACAAATATAAAAGTAAATTTTCAATTCATCCAAGTCGACCCTTAAAATAATACAAACAAATAGTAGTAATAAAAGTCTAAACTTGATTGCAGACATTACAGTATATACCGCTTAAATATGTAGGTACCCTGAAACCGCTATTACATATCATTGCAATCATTGTATATTTCATATCTAAAACACAAGTCTGAAAAACCTATGCAGTTATTTTCTAAATRCTTTTTGGTCAATATCACTCAATAACATTGAAAATAAATATAAATGTACATAAAAAATATCTTATAGACTACGTTATAGTTAAATATTGAAAWATAAAAATGAATACCGTTCCAAGTTTTTGGAAAAATTATTAATTATTAGATCTATTATTGAAGTACATTATTTTTGTAATCGATGAGATTATATTGGTATTTATTTTCCGGCTTTAAATTCAGTTAACGCTTCTAGGCCAAGGAAACTATACTTTTTTGTCTTTTCAAAATCATAATAATTTTTATGTTTAAATAATATTCACTCATGAAATTTTTCTACATGCAAGTKTTGTAAAATGACGTTGGTATAAAAWTATTAAGAACTTCGCGTATAGACACCACCGCGGTCGGAGCAATTAGCGCCCGCGCCATTGCGATCTCAAGAAAGTGTCCGCCACCTTATACCGGCATTGTTTAACGCCTATAGTCGTGACATTTTGGACGGAGAAAATGTCAATCGAACTCGGGAAATGTCACAGCCTATTTTTTATTTCATTACGATGTCGTTTTCTCCCCACCCCCTYCTTCCCTAACACCATCATTATAAATTATTATAATTACTAAATTATTATCGTATCACATTATTCCTCTCACGTTAATTGGTCATCGTTATTAATATTATAATATATAATGCGATTTTGGTTCTATCGAATTTCACTAAATCATTCCACTCGCGCATTGTTGTCGCGGTTATCTGTGAATAAATCCTGCGGGAGACGCGCACGAATAGGTCTGCATAGTTTATAATATTATTATTATTATTATTCCATTTTACGGGGGTCTGTGTGTCCGCTGTTTTTTTGTTTTTTTTTTTTCTGTACATATTTTTCGGGTGGAAGAAGTGAAGAGTTTGCGGAAAATAATAATAGGGGATACGGCCGCGGTATTCACGCAAACCACTATCTATTGTACTCACGGGACTCTGGCGTGAGGGTACGTATATAAATTCTAGCACGCCTAATTACCCGAGTGACCTACCATGTAGTGCTCCCCAAAAATTACTAAGATCTTTAATTTTAAAATGTTCGGTTCCCAAGTGTCGTCGCGGTACACTATACTTATATAATAATAATTTATAATATGGAAGAAACATTTCCAGTGTCATGGTAGATATACCTACCTAATATAAAGGATTACGGACTTTTTTTTTATGGTGACAATTTTTACTATCATTGTCACTCAGTCTGAATATGAATATTTCGCATCTTCAGAACAATCGTAATATATGTGGTGCTCAATAAAAACTCAATTTATGGTATAAATGTGTCCTAGAATGTTGCCGGAATAAAATAAATCAAAAATATAATTTTCTTAGGTCGATGTACTTACAGTTAAAAATATGTGTTTTACGTTTAAAAAAAAAATTGATTATAAATTATAGTGCAATATTTTGAAYATTTTTGTTGTCTACTTGGTGTTGTAATAGCCCTACAACTAGGTATCTCTTAAAAATATATACAAACATTTTGTCGCAATATAAAAACATGCATTATTTAATTTATTTTGTTATTCGTTTCTTCCATTATTCGATAAGATGATGAATCCAACGAATTTCGTTTTAATTTATTTAAAAAACGTTTTGTACCTACGTGAACCGAAAAATATTTTTAATTAAGTATAACAGGTTAAAAGACGACAAGAATTCAATTATTCAAAGTGTTCTTGAAATATTGAAAGCAATTTAAATTTAAAGACTAAAAGCAAGTTTCA